CACTTTTAAAGATTATTCACAGTTAAAGATTATTAACCAGGGCTCACATATGTTTGCAATGACTATACATCCCCACCACCACCTCTAGTACCTATCACAGATTTTTCACAATGTGCAGTGACAGGCTGAACAAATGAGTTTATATTTACATTTATTTATATTTAAGACAAAGTATTCATTTTATATTTTCAGTTTATTTGTTTAATAAATAAAACTGAAAAAAATGTAATATTTTATTTGTGGTCCTGGAGAGAAAAATATTTGATACATAATGAAAATATGATTCAGGAAAAAGCAAAGAAGCAAGAAGTCTGTATGGAGGTTTCTAGATTTTTCATTTCCTTAAAATATTTAAGGTTATTGTACTCCTAATAATAATAATATTTATATAATGTTTATTATGAACCAGACATTGTTTAAAGTCCTTTACATATATTAAAACATAGAAAATAGAAAAGCCAGATAATTTGCCTAAACTTAATGTTTATGAAAACACTTCTTCAGTATTCTCTTATAACTTTTATTGTGCTACACAGAAAAAAAATTAACGCACATTCTTCCATTGATTTCCCTGGCACTCTGTTAGCTACTTTGTTATATCATAATAATTTTATTATCTTAGTGTATGACGGTGACAGATAAAGGACAGAAGAAACACTTATAGGATAAAGTTCTTATCAGTTTTGAATCACATAAACATAAAATTCTTAAGGTTATACAGGGAGAGCACAGTGTTAAGAATCATGACCACTGGTTCTGATGTATTCTAACCAAGCCTTAACCTCTACACAAATATAGTTATTGTATTTCACTCTATTCTCAATATATCAATAATGTCAATTCACCTATATTTTGAGCATCCTTTCTTTCCAATTTCCCAAGGCTTCTTTCATTTCCTACGGTCTGTATTATGTCTTAAACGAAAGGAAACTTCAGTAATTTTTGTTTAAGTGAATTCAGAAAGTTTTTATTTTTACTTTTACTTACTGGGACTGAGATATACACATGTAGATCAACTAAGACACTGAAATTCTTTCACAATGTGGCTTAGCCTATGATTACAGACTTGTTTCCCACCGCATCCCTGAACTTCAGCCAGACAAATGATTTTTAACATTTCCAAAACTTAATATACACATTTAATAATTCTGTGCCTTTGCTCACCTTCATTGCCTAGAAGTTGCCTCTACCTTTTCTTCCAGCCCATAAGTGATTTCTTCACGCTTTATAAAAAGAGCTGATATGTCACTTTTCACTCCCAATTTTCTCTGAAGAGAATCCCTCCCTTTATTATTCTTTCATAGAACATTTCTCAAAACTACCTAATGACACTTTCTTTGGCCTTATGATTGTGTAGAATTATCTCTGTATTGCAAGACTCCACGAGGGCAGAAAAATCTGTCTTAAGCACACCAACAGGATACTTAGCAGAGAAGAACATAAAACAGAAATTTGTTAAATTGAATTCTGGGCAATGCTTAAAAGAAAATAAAGTATATTTTAAATGTTGACACAATTGACAAGAAATTATTTTAGAAAATTAATATATTCCATTTACATTTTTGTAAGCCTAAAAGTTATTTGTTCAAGACTTCATCTGTTTTCCATAACCACTAGCCAGGGATGCTCATCTCCTACTCAAATGACCACTGGTGGATCTGTTCACAGGCACCCTGTGAATACTGACTCCTGTAACTACATCAGCATGATACCTCTAGTGGAATGGCTATTTAAGTAAAAAATAAATCTATGAAATCAGTGACTAAATTTCTTATATTTTATGTAGTACATTATAGGATTTCAAAAATACCTTAGTTCAATCCTTTACAGAAAGAGAATCTTTCAATTAAAAAGTTATTTCTAGAAAGTAAATTGTTCACAGAAAATACCAGATATACTTTATATCATAAATTGCCAACTATTTAACCTAGTTATTTTTTCCATCTATGATATATTTACAAAAACCTACAGAATTAATGTCTCTGAAGAAAGGTAACTGGTAAAATGGCCACTAAAATTTGTGTGGCTCAATAAACCTGAGCACCTGAAAAATTTATACAATTTTAAATAGATATAATTTCAATTTTAATACATAAATGCTGGTTTAAATGTTATAAACTGATTAATGATTCCCATAGACCTTAAATTATTTAACTTCTATTGATGTCTAGATTATTTTAATTCTTGGTATTTTTAGTAGCTTTTCATCAAAGCTCTTCATCCTTAGTTGTTTTAACCTATAAATAGCATTAAGCAAAGCTCCATTCTTACCAGTAATCTGTCCTCTTCATTAAAAGAGAAAGAATTAAATTGCATGTTTTCTTTACAACCTACTTATGTAATCCACCCACTTTATTGTTTCCCTTGATTTGCCTTTGTTTCACCTAATTCACATAGCTTCATCCACATCTATCATGAAATATGCCCATGTGCTTCCATTTCAAAATATTTCTACACTTACACTGCCATACATGGATTATTATCTTGGGGACAACCTAAAAGTAATATATGCTATATCAACAGTGATATGTGTTACTTTTCCCTCCGTGGCCTACACGTATTGGCCATTAGACTTTATCTTTACATGGTAAAATCTTAGAAGAAATAAAAAGCAACAGCTGTGAAATTATCATCCATAAGTGTCACGATCAGGACACGTTTGGCTTAGAACTTTTGCTGTACTACTTTGCAGCTCTGTGACCTTGTGAAAGGTATTTACTGTACCCATCTCAATTTCCACATCTACCAATGAGGAAAAATTATATTTGATTTCCAGAACTGATGTGAGTAAAGTACCTTGAACAATGACTAACATGCAGTAAATGTTCAATAAATTTCAACTACCTGTTCCTTTTCCACCTTATTCTATCACATTTCTTTTCTAGTGTATTCTTCTCTTTCCTCTTGCTAATCTTTGCCCAGTGTCTAAAATGCATATCTTAAAATCTTAAATTAGCAATACCAGGGGTCTTCAAAAAGTTCATGGAAAGATTTGAATTAGCTTTTAATTCTATTTTTCCATCATCTTTCTGAAATACCCTTAGATATTTATCAAGAAGAGAAAAGAAATCTGAATCAGTTATGCAAATATCACACATAAGGAATTGGCTTCTCCTGAAGTCGTCAGTGCTCCTCTCTGTTAGCAGTGTCATGGTAAAGACACAGGCTGTAGAGTCAGAAATAACCTATTTTGAATCAGAATCCATCACTCATTGTTTGACTGTAACTGTTGCTATTTTTTGTTCCTTATCTCTTAAAGGCTGGGATTCTGCAACTGAGCGATAGAGGTAAGACATACCTCAAAAGGGCCATTATGAAAATGAAAAATTGAAATGTTTAGTGTAATATCTGGCAAATAAAAAACTATGAGGTAAACGGCACTTTTCAAGCAATTCTGCCCTCTCTCTATAACAATCCAGAAATATTAGAAAATATCCCCATTTCATAATGTCTATGACAAAATTATCACAAGAATGATGGCAGCAAGTTCATCCATAACTCTCTAAATCCCTGTGTCTTCCAATTGCCAGTTTGCTCTGAAATGCAGACTGATCAAGCCAAACGCAATCACTAGAGCAGAGGCATAACTCCTGTTCCTTACATAATTCTCTGCATATAACTACATGAGGCCAGTGATAATATGTCTCTAATATTTTTCTGTCATTTTTTCAGAACATAGAAAAAAAGGTTTTCTAAGCTACTTAATTGTTGGTAAGTTATTACAAGTTATTTTGTACAGCAAGGAAAGGAGATATACATATATATATATATTTATATCTTGATATATACATATATCTTGAAAGGTTATTTTAGAAAAAAGTTTCATTCATTTCCTAAAAGTAACTATGACAAATACGATCTATTTAATACACTCAAGAAATACTTATATTTATTCATTTTAATAGAAATAGATAATGAAGATAAAAGCGTAATCCCATCTTTAAAAAATACATTTCTTAGAAAATTTCAGAAAAATAAAATCACAGAATATAAAATGAACAAATCTAAATAAGTAAATAGACTGTTAAACTAGTTAAAAGAGGAAGATTTAACTCTTCATAAGATTTTTTAGTTAAAAACACACATTTAATGAGTAACTGTTGATGTAAAGTGTCAAATTCAAACAGCAATATATGGAAGATTTCAAGAATAAAACATGTTTAGGTCAACTTCTCCTTCCAGATTTAAATTTGAAGATATGATGGAAGAAGCAAGGTAAAAATATTAACTAATATTGTGATGAAAGAGAAAAATACAATTTCTAAGGAAAAAAAAAAAGAAAAGCTAACCTAAGTGTATCTGTACACATTTGACTGCCTCTATTATCAAATATTTTAACTAGACAAAAATCAAAGTAAAAATCTTCACTAACCACCATTTTAGTTTAGATTAACATGAAAAAAGTAGAAATATATTGCAATGTAAAAACGATGCAGAATATGTAAAAACATATAAAAAATAGTCAAGTATAACCATAGCTAAAATGTTGGCACCTGAAAAACTGTACTTTGTAAATTACACATCCTTATAAGTCTTCAAAAACAACTCCTAGCTAACAAAAGCCTAATTACAATTTATCTTCTTGCCAAGTTCAAGAACACATACTGCTTTAGTAGACTCATATTTTCTATTAAAACCAAATTGATAATATTTGTGTAATCCACTTATAATACTCTAATTATAATACTAATGAGTATGTAGGAATACTCATTAAGACCATCAAGTTTAACATATACACACAATAAGTATTTCTAAAGAAAATATTCATATTGGAGGTATTCTAATGTTACTATGTATAAACAATATTTAAGAACAATGAGTAATTTGCATATCATTCCCATTGATTACCAGTTCTATTGTATTTTAATCTTTTCTATAGGATTTAAGCTATCTGCCAAAATTTGTACTAAATATAACCAAAAATCCACTATTCCTTTAACTATTATAAGAGACTAAAAACCTAACAAAAATGACAACTTTAAGAAGATATTTAAACTTACCCCATTTAGTGGGTATGTTTTCCATCCTAGCTCTCCCAGCACAGTCGTTGTATCAAGTAACACAACTGGAATTAAACAGATAAAAAAATTTACATTAATTTCTCAACCAATACAAAAATATATTAAAGTCATTTAAATCATTAATGTCAACTACCCTTACTACTATTAATTGCCCTAACTTTAATAAGTTGCATACTTACTTTTAAAATTATTTATATATATTAAATATTAATATATAATATTAAGTAATGATAAAATGCATAAAGTGTTTAAGTTAATTTTTAAATATGTAGATTTCTGCTTAACAATGCTAAATAAAATAACTAACAATTTAAAAAGTCATTTTTAAAACTGATGAAATAACTCTCTTTGCTTTCCCCCCTTTCACATATTGTTTTTTAATGCTACATTAAAGAAAGAAAAAACTGTATTAATGCAGGCTTCTTTACTTTCTTTTTGTGTTATTAAATGCTCTTATATAAAATGGGCAAAGTATGAACACAACTCATTTTTAATAAACCTACCATCTTTAAAGTATAATTCATTATTATCATATGTGCTAGGTAATGTACTTATTGCTAAGGGACGCAAAAACAAAAATAAAAATCGTGCATATTTTTTCCTTGACCAAAAGTAATTTTTAATCTGGCTGAAAAGACAGACCTGTAAACAAATAAGAACATGTTCTGTTAAATTCTAAAATCAAAGACTATATAACACCCTACCAATTAAGTTAGGCTAAGGTTGAGAGGGCAGGTCTGGGAGGACTTCACAAAGGAGATAAATGCAATTTGAGCTGGGCTAGAATGAGGATGAGGGGGTCTTCAATCAGATGTGATAAGAATTTTTTTTTTCTTTTTGAGTACTTTCTATAAGTAACTGAGATGTAACTAAATCAGTTCTCAGTAGCTGGAGTGAGGACTAGTAGTGGGGATTATTTTGAGGAAGTAGGAGAATAGAAACGATGCTGGAAAGACAGATGGAGATAACTGAGGATTGTTTTGTAGTGTTTCCAGTAGGTAGATATATAATGCTCATGACTCACCAGATCTTTATATTTAACTAGCACTTCCCAGGCCCTCAGATGCCATGAGCCACACTCTGAGAAACAATGCCTTTGTGCCTGATCATTAGTTTTGTGCTTCATCTTTTTAAGGAAGTGGGGTTTTTTATTTGTAGTTTTAAAAAATGCCTTCATATGATATTTGGCATCTGCTATTTAGTGTCTATTAAAAGGATTCTGTGGTTTTTCTTAGATGAATCACTGTCATAAATTTTATTTATACATTTTAAAATATGAAACTAACCTTAAATTGTTGGAATAAACTCTACTTGCTCACTTCAGAATATTCTTTTAGCACAGTTGAAAACTATTCACGAAACATAACATTTGTAAAACTGAGTGGTAATTTTTAATTAATTTTTCTTGTGAAAAATTCTCAAACATATTTTAAAAAATACAGAATAAACCTTCATATACTAAACACTCAGCTTCAATAATTACCAATTTATGGCCACTCTTGTTTCATCTATACTTGCTTACTTATTCTGCCACTGCAAAATTTATTTGACGCAAATTCCAGTAATCATATCATTCATCTGTAAAAATTTCAGAGTGTACTTCTAAAATAAAGGACTCAATATAACTACAATCTCTTAATTAATATGAAGTCATTCCTTAATGTAATCAAATATCCAGCCAGTGTTTAATATTCTTTCTTGTCTCAATTCATTTAACAGGAAAGCAAGACCCAAATAAATGCTGTACATTACACAATGTGTTGGTATTAATCTTTAAACATTTTTTAAATCTATAGGCTCCCTCATAATATTTTTTTCAGTTAGACTTATTGAGGTATGTTTTACTTAAAATGAAATTCATTTTTTTCAGCTAGACTTATTGAGGTATGTTTTACTTAAAATGACATTCACACTTTTTAAATGTACATTTTGCAAATTGTAACAAACCCCACATCCCGTCAACATGGCTATAAATTAAGCTACAGAATATTTCTATAACCTAAAAAATATTCCTTGTGATTGTTTAAGCTGTAATCCCTTTCCCACGTGATTCCCTGGCAACCTCTAATCTAATATCTGTTCCTATAGTTTTGCCTTTTTCAGAATGTCAAATGAATGAAATCATATAGCATGCAGGCTTACGAGCCTGTTTTCTTTCACTTTGCAGAATGCATTTGAGATTCATCTATATTGCTGCATGTTTCAACAGTCAGTTCCTTTTTATAACTGAAAAGTATTCCACTATATGGAATTCCCTAGTTTATGAACATGTGAGCTATTTCCAGTTGGGGACATTATATATAAAGTCATTATAAAATTTCATGTAGACTTTCATATATACCTGCTTTCATTTCTCCAGGGTAAATAACTAGGAGTAGGATTACTAGGTTATACAGAAAATGCTTATTTATTTTTAAGAAACTGTCACACTGGATTCTAAAACTGCTGTGCAATTTTACATTCCTAATAGCAGAATGAGTGGTTTTCCAGTTCCTTCACATACCAGGACTTCGTATTGCCTAGTTTTCTGGAGGCATTCTAAGAGGTGTGCAACAGTGTCTCATTTTTGTTTTAATATGCATTTTCCTTAATGTCTAGCCAATTATCTTTCTTACTACTTGAAATTGACTTATTGGGGGGAAAAAATAAAATAAAAAACTAAGTCATGTTGTCCCACAGTGTAGATTAGATTTTCCTCACTGATCATATCATTGAACATACTCCCCCACTCCCTGTACTTTAAATTGGTAGATATAAGTATATCCAGTGGCTTGATCAGATTCAGGTTCCATTTATTTTTATTTTTATTTTTTTGAAAGACAACTCCATTGGTAGTGTTTCATAGTTCTTATACCAGAAAATAGGTAGGATATCAATGTTTACTAGAGACACATTAAAAGGACTCAGGAACCAACTTGCATAGGCTTCCACTGGCAAAAAATGGATAATTTGACCATACACAAGGTTAATTACTGTAAAGAACTGACACAGTCAAATATGCTTAAACCCATGAATTTATAATAATAAAATATATCTTTTGTAATTCTGTAGAACGCCAGTATAGCATTATTTTTTTAAACTGGTAAATAAACTGAAAAGAATAAAAAACTTATTTTGCTTTTTCTATATGAACTACTAATGAATAAAAAAAAGTTAATGAAATGACATTTCTCTTATTGAAATATTCCAGTTAAGAAATGAAGAAGGAATGACTGAATTAGGCTATACCACTTGCTACTCCTAATGAATTAATATATTTAGCTAATGGTTTCCCATGGCTGCTAACATTATAAGAAGAAATAAAAGAAGACATAAAGGGCCAGAGATTTTCAAAAGTCTTTCTTATTAACACAGAATTTTAACAAGCCTGGAAGTAACAGAAGTAATAGATAAAGTACAGGAAGGATAAGATATACATACACATACACATACATATACACATGTATGGCCTGGAAGTAACAGAAGTAATAGATAAAGTACAGGAAGGATAAGATATACATACACATACATATACACATGTATGCACACACACACACACACACACACGTGATGGCATCTGGGTTCCTTCAGTGTAACAAAAATAATTTCATATGTTAGAGAAAAAGGTGATATATAAATGATATATCACTATAATAAATATTCAAAATCATAAGCTTATCTTGTTATCAATTAAAAGTTCTTTTGATTTTTGGTATACACTGTTCAAAAGAATTCAGAAGTAAAAAAATATCAATATCTACTTTGGGCACTCAAAAGTTTAATGTTACACATTTAGCACATTTATATTTTTGAAATACTTAATTATTTCCCTAGTAGGCTGAGAATATAATGATACTAATTCTGTTACTGTTGTAATGGCTTTCTATATACATTCTCTCTTGTTCAAGTAATCTCCAAATTGTCCTATAAGGGTCTCTCCACTTTAAGTAGATCTTTACCTAATCACCCTTCATTGATGATCTGGTGATTTTTGTAAAATACATAGTTTTTGTCTATTTTCACAAGGATCTAAACTCTCTTTTAAGTCACTGCTGTCTCTACGGTGTAGTCAACAGTTTTAATTGTTGATGATCCTATTTTTTTTAACAGTTTTACTGAAGTATAATTGATATATAAGAAACTGCGCATATTTGATGTAAACAATTTGATGAGTTTGAATATACGCATATATCCATGAAACCATTACCACAGTCAAGATAATAAAAATACTTACCACTTTTGAAAGTTTCCTCCTGCCCCTTTTTTTGTTTCATTTTATTTTGGGGGTTTTATGACGGGTAGGATAAGAATACAACATGAGATCTATCCTCTCAACAGATTCTTTTTTAAAAAAAATTAACTATTTATGATTTTTTTTAAAGTGTTCATATTCAAGTATAAAACTCTCTTTACCCATAACCTTGATTCTCTACCTCAGTCATCTGTATACTTTATACTTGAGAGTTGGCCTCTTTAAACCCCAGCCATTTATATATAAAACATCTTACAAGGCGATCTTTACAAACTGTATTACAGTTATCCCTCATCGTTCATTATCCATGGAAGATTGGTTTTAAGAGCCACAGATACCAAAATCCAACGACGCTCAAGTCCTTCATATAAAGTGGTTTAGTACTTGCATATAACTTAAACACATCCTTCCATATCATTTTTTTGTATTTATTTATTTACTTATTTTTATTAAAACATAATTGATTATACATATATGGGGTACAGAGTCCAATATCAATATCTGTACAATGTGTGATGATCAAATCAGGATAATTAGCATGTTCATCATTAAAAAACATAATAATTCCTTGTGTCTCTTAACCGATTTCTCGCTAACTCCCCTCCACCTCCCCTTCTCCACCTCTAGTAACCAAATTTCCAAACTAGACCTTTACATCTCACCATATACAAATGGATTAAAACCTTAAATATAAGACCTGAAACTATAAAATTCCTAAAAGAAAAGGATAGGGGAAACACTTCAGGATGTAGTACTGGGCAAAAACTTTATGAATAAGACCTCAACAGCACGAGCAACAAAAGAAAAAAATAA